CATAATCAGCTGCCTCCTGCACACCCCCTGCTAGGGATCAAGCCAGCAACAGAGGGTTCCCCTGTTCCAACCCCAGGATGTGCCCTGACTGAAAATTGAACCATGACCTCCTGGTTCATGGGCAGATGCTCAACCACTGAGCCAAACTGCTGGGCCTACTGATCCTCTTTTACCTCAGTTTTTTTATTTGTAAAATGAGAATTAAAATACTGTTTACCTAGTAGGGTTGCTAGGTTATGAGGTTTACTAGTAAATGAGTTGCTATATGCAAAATGCTTTGAACTGTAAGCATTATATAAGGGTTAGCTCGTATCATTTTTATTATTACTATTCTTAGCATGAGGCTGGGTGCGGGGAGAGTATTTCTACTGCCAAGCACATATCCAGCCCTGCAAGTCCTGCCCTCTCCTGTCCTTGGAAGTTCTGCGGCCTGAACAGGGAGGTCCCCAGGTCTCCACCCCCTATATGGCTGTGTCCAAAGGGCCACTCCTGTTATAGCAAGGGAGGCCTTGAGGCAGTCCAGCCTGAAGGAATGGACAGCTTCCAGCTTGAAACCTCCTAGAAGCCAGAAGGGCCCTGAAAGACCAGCTAATACAAGACCTCCACACATTTCCCCAAGAGGGGCAGGCATTTACCTCAGCACCTTAGTCACAGGGGTTTCCGCCCCCAGTCCAGCCAGCCCCTTTGCCCACTACTTCCTGGCTTCCGTGGATCTAGAACAGCTGGTCCAGGGAGAACCACTGGGGACAGGGACTAGCTCAGGGGTCAGTGGCATGAGCTGCTGGTGTGGAAATGAGCTCTCTGGCAGTGCTTAAGCCCAAATTAAAGGCAATAAGAGCCCGCCAAGGATATTGCAAAGAGGACAGGAAGACAAGGAAATTAGAGGGACCTTTACAGGCCCAGGACTTAATTTGTGGGCCTATGGTTATGTAGTGGGTCAGTGGGCAGGTGTGGGCCAGACAATGGAAGGCTCTGATTTGCACCTTCACACCCACTCCAGGAGGCCTACTTCAAGAAGCACAAGTTCAACACAGTGCCAGGTGTCCAGCTCAGGAACGTGGACAGGTAGGGGCTGGGGACAGGGCAAAGGGCAGGATATCTGGGAGTCTTGATGACCATTATTTGACAGTCCCTTCCAACCCTGGGGCCTGGATGTTTATCCCAGCCTGCTGTCCCCCAGTTCCCATGTGAACCTCAGCCCTGCTCCTGGGATCTTGGGGCTACCCTCTCCCTTGAACCATTTCTCCCTCTCCTTTAGTCTGAAGAAGGAAGCTTACGAAGTGGAAGTTCACCGGCTGCTTAGGTATGGCCTAAGGCATTAGGGGTTCGTGGCAGGGAGTGGGGAGGCGTCAGATACTAGGGTCTAGGCCTCATAATTTGTGGGGCCCGCTGCAAAATGAAAAACGGGGCTCCTTGTTCAAAATAAGAATTTCAAGACGGCAACAACTAAGCAAGGGGCCTTGTGTCATACACTCATGAGTGAGGGCCTGTCTTACTCCCCTCCCCCCGCTGCAGTGAAGCTGAGGTGTTGGACCATAGCAAGAACCCTTGTGAAGACTCTTTCCTGCCAGACACAGAGGGCCATACCTACGTGGCCTTTATCCGAATGGAGAAAGATGATGACTTCACCACCTGGACTCAGCTTGCCAAGGTGCCCCTATGCCACACCTACCCTAGAAATGCCCCTTCCCCCAAGATACAGGGAGCCTTTTACCTTAGAACCTTTTCATTACACTTTCAGACCCATCTTTCAACCTCCTTGTCCAGATTTGTATTTTAACAGCTGCTACCTCTTATTAGAAGTACTTTAAGAAAAAAATTAATTTGAGAGATGGTAAAAAGAAAAAAAGATGCTATCTCTTGCAGATTGAAGAGGCTGCTGAGGAGGGATGGGGGCTGGGCCTTGGGTCCTCAGTGGCCCCTCCGCACAGCTCTCTGACCCATGCCTCTCCCTGTACTCCACCCCACAGTGCCTCCATATCTGGGACCTGGATGTGCGTGGCAACCACCGGGGCCTGTGGAGGTTGTTTCGGAAGAAGAACCACTTTCTGGTAGTGGGGGTCCCAGCCTCCCCCTACTCGTGAGTGACTCTTTTCTGCCCTTAGAAATGGGAGACTGGCTGGATGGGACACAGCTAATGACCTCTTTCCTTTTACCTTCCCAGGGTGAAGAAGCCACCATCAATCACCCCAATTTTCCTGGAGCCGCCCCCAAAGGAGGAGGGAGCCCCAGGAGCTGCAGAACAGACATGAGACCTCCTCCGGGACCCTGCAGGGCTGGGTACTGTGTACCCCCAGGCAGGCTAGCCCTTCACCCCATCATGTAGGATTTTGTAGACACTGGCAGGGGTTGGGGCTGGTTTGTTTTTAACATGAGACTTAATTACTAACTTCAAGGGGAGGGTTCCCCTGTTCCAACGCCCCTATTTCTGAGTTGGAGGTCTATTTATTTACTTCCTTGTTGGGAAAGGGCAGGATAGTTGCTGGAATCCCTGAGCAGCTGATCCTGCCCTTTGTATACTCCCTCCTCCCAGGCCTGGCTCAGAATTTAACCTATTTATTTACTGTCCTGAGGGCCTTGGAAACAGGGTGAAGCCTGAAGGAACTTGATTCTTTTATGGACTGGGGTGCTGCCCTGAGGGTGTGGCTGGCTCTTACTCAGGAAACTGCTGTTCCCAACTCCTGGACAGGCCCAGCAGGGGCCCGCCCACTGATGCAGACGCACTCAGAGACCCTCACCCTGAACCAGGCCTCTACTCAGCCTCATCTTTGTCCAGGTTTCCAAAGCTGGATAAGGTGGTCATTGATTAAAAAAGGAGAAAAACTCTATGGATGTGTCTCGTGATTGTGTGTGTGTGTGTGTGTGTGTGTGTGTGTCCTCTATGGATGTGTCTCGTGATTGTGTGTGCGTGTGTGTGTGTGTGTGAGAGAGAGAGAGAGAGAGAGAGAGAGAGAGAGAGAGAGAGAGAGAGAGAATGAATGCTCATGATGGATGGTGAGTTTTCCTTACTGCCCTCCATAGGGTTTATCTTACATTTGGGGCCATTTGGCCACCAGGGGATGCCCAAGTCTCAAACTTCAAGGTTTTTCCCTAGGCTCCACCCTAGAGCCTGACCTGTTGGGGCTGAGCTTGGAGTAGCCACCCCACACCCCTTTCCCACTGTTTAACCACCAACCTGTTTCCTGCCTAGCTTGTCAGGGTCAGGCACTTGTCCCCAGATATGGAGCAAAAGAAAGCAAAAAGGGATACTTAGATGTGGGAAGGCAATGGGCGCACAGGTGAGTATAGTGAGCCATGGGCGGGAAGAAAGTGGGTGAGACAGAACCGGGTTGGGCATCATTCAGGAGGCTAGGACTGGGCTGCAGATGGAGACATAGGAACAAGGATTTCTGTGGCCATTAGTGCACTGTATGCAGATTTCATAGCTGGGCATTTTTTCTGAAGAAAAGCCATTGTTTTTTATCAGATTCTCACCCAGCCAGTGATCCAGAGAGGTTAAGAAGATCCAAGTCATAAAGGTACCAGAAAATGAATGGGATTGTGTATAGGGAATGGATGAGATATCCCAAGCAGGGGAAGTATGACATTTAAGGGAGCTGTGAAGGACTTAGGGTCAGGAGAGTACAGAACACTTCTAGAGCAACAGTCTGCCTGCAGAGCCCGTATGAGGCGAGCCTGGTGAGCACCTGTAGAGCCTTGGCCAGGAAGGCAGGAACTGCCGCCCTTTCGCCAGCTCTCTGCCCCCCTGCCTCCCCCACAGGTGCCTGGAGCTCAGGTCGGCGATGGCACGGGTAGTGTGTGACTAGGACGTTTCTTGCCACCCTGCTGATTTCAGTGTTTGCTGTAGCTAGAGATAGTGTTTGAGGTGCCATAACAGCCAGATTGAGGAGCAATTAGCTCACTATGAGGCGGAGGCCCACCCTGGGCAAACAGATCAGCAACCTTCCTTGTCAGGCCCTAAACACTGGCCGGCCCCACCCAGGCTGAGCACTTCCTGATGTTGCTGGTAGTACCCACCATCAAGAAAGCGTTGACCCATCTCAGGAGTTGTGCGTGCAAGGCATAGTAAAGTGGGGAAGGGGGCTCATTGCCCACCCCCCAGCAGGCTCCTCATTTTGGCCTCAAACTAGCTCTCAGGCACTGTATGGCTCTGGCCAGGTCACTTCCTCTCTGGGCCCAGCAACAGGTGGTAGTTCCTGGCTACCTTAGGAAAATCTGGGAAGAGGGATCCAGGGGTCAAAGGGAAACAAGGGGAGGACTGGTTAGCCAGGCTGGGCTTTGCTTGGTAGCAGACACCATGTTCTCCAGCCATAGCTGCCTCCTGGTTCGGCAGCAATCAGATCTGTGTGGGGGACATTCTGGCCTTCTGGTAAATCTGTCGCCATATCAGATAGTGTGGGCCTGAAACTAGTCACATGCGTTTCTAGGCCCAGTTTCTTGAGGATGGGGGTGGTTAAGACAACATGGAGATCAGATCTGAAGAGCACCAGGCAGGCCGAGACCAAGAACACGTTCTTTCTGAAGTCCCCAAAGCAGGGAGCGGTGTGGGGCTTTGCCTGAGTGGGAAGGGTAGGCAGCTTGGATCCTCCAATGGGGCTTCCAGAGGGCTTCTCAGAGTCTAAGGGGTGACTCCCTCCCATTGCCCTGGCAATATTTTTCATCTCCCCTGCCCCCACTTGGGCACAAGCTTGTTATTTTCATAGCTTTCTGGTCCAGTGCCCCTACTCAGGAATGAGTAGTTTCAGTCCAAAGTCCTCCCACATTATAGGAAGGCAGGCTGACCCAGCCCCCACCTCCTCCCTCAGTGCCCTCTTGGCCACCCCTGTTATGCTCCCTCCCAGGCCTGGAATTCACATGGAGAGAAAAAATAGCCACCCACCTCCACTCCTCTTCTGCTGCCTTCCCAGGGGCCTTCTGTGTCTCTAGCCCCACAGGAATCTGAGGCCAGTTTAGGCAAGATGGGTCCCTCTCCCCAATGATACACATGAAAAGAGTCCCAGTGGAAACAATTTAATTGGTTTATGAATTCTGAAATGCCTTCTACACATCCGCCCGGTCACTACTAATTTTGCATGTGCTCAGGATTTAGGGTGCCTTATTCCCCAGTGGAGCACTGGGGTCACCAAGAGCTCCTGTTGTCCTGAAGGGGTAGCAAGGGTTTGAGAGACAGGCTGGAGGAATGGGCAGGAGAACTGGTACTACTAATTTTACATGTGCTCAGGATATAGGGTGCCTTATTCCCAGTGGAGTACTGGGGTCACCGAGAGCTCCTGTTGTCCTGAAGGGGTAGCAAGGATTTGAGAGACAGGCTGGAGGAATGGGCAGGAGAACTGGCTCTGGAACAGGTGGGCCCCAACCCCACCAATAGAAGGTGAAGTCAGGCACAGCCTGAAGGGGTGGTCCCCATGTGGCCCCACTCTGGCCCAAATGACACTGTTAGATCCTGTCGCCACCCTGATCCCGGCCTTTTGGCAGTGCCAGGGTGCTCTTCCCAGTTCCTGTGTGGCAGGAGCAGTGGCGGAGGCAGAGGCAGACTTATTTCAAATTACAGTACAGGTACATGGACACAATCATGGCAGCCAGCTGGTGGGGAAGGAATAGGGAGAGATGAGGGGACATGATCATGGTCCTTGAGCTTTAGTCCCCTGCCCCCCAAACTCCCTACATGAAACGGTTAGAAGTCTGTGTCCTCTAGAGAGGCCTCAGAGATGGGACAAGCACCTCTGTTCCAGTGGGGATATCCTGCTCCAACCTTCTCACCCCCTTACCTCCAAGCCTCCAATTCCGGCTGCCACACCACCCACAGTGATTGCGTTGGTTCGGACGTCACTCAGAAGCTGCTTGAAGCAACCCTTGGAGAAGGGAAAAGAGCATCTATAGTCAGCTCCTGCCCCCCGCCCCTCCCTTTCAGCACTCTGAGGCCATTCAAACAGCCCCAACCTTCCATGCCAGCCCACACCTGTACAGGTTTGTCCTCGGCCCTCTTCTTGGTGCAGGGTTCCGTGCCATTGACATCATCAAAGCAACAGTATGGGGGAAAGACCTGGTTATCTGTGAAGTAGGGAGACTCCTCAAAATCCGTGTAGTTGTTGAAGCCACAGCACTTGAGCTGGAGACAAGGAGGGGAGGGTGTCATTGGGGCCTTGCCTCTTTCTCCCCACTCCAAAGCCTCCCCAGCCCACCTTACCCCTTCCATGGTGCTGTTCCACACTTGTGTGAAGTCCTTCTGGGAGCCATAGTCCTTCTTGATGGTTTGCACTGCCACCAATGTCAGGTAGTGCTCAGCCTGGGTAGAGCAGGACAGTGTTTAGGGCCTGATAGGCAGGGTGGCCATTCACAGGCCACAACCCACTTCCAGGGCTTTGCCCAATCTTACTCCCTTGCCCCATCCTCAATCCTCACCACTGAGGTATACACCAAGGCGACCACAGCAGCTGCGACCTCAGCAATGAAGATGATGAGGAGGATGAAGAAGAACTGAATAGGAAACAGGGGTCTGAATTTTAGGGAGAGACAGTCCCTCATGAATCCCTTGCCCTAACCCACCCCCCATAAAAAGGAGGCAGGGGCCCCTTCGCTGAGGCCCTTGGAGTCCAGAAGAGGGTTTGGGGATCCCCAGGGCCTGGTGTCAAAGGTGAGGGGACCCCAAGCCTTGGTTATGGGCCTGTGGAACTGGGTTTGACACACCATCATGAGGGCACACTTGTTCTCAGTGTGAGCACCGTAGCAGCCCAGGAAACCAAGAGCAAAGAGCACAGCGCCAGCTGCGATGAGGAAGTAGCCCACGTTGACAAACTGCATGGCACTGGACGACAGCGGCCCGAAGATCTTCAGGAAGGATGGCCCATCGACTGACACCCAGATCCCCACTGCCAACAGGGCCACACCACACAGCTGGAGACAGAGAAGCAGACCTTGAAACAGTGCTGGCCAGCAGTTCCCTACCACACAGTTGAGTCAGGAAAATGGGAGATGAGAAATTTCCCCTTTTATTGGCTAAGAAGTCTAAAAACTCATCCAGTAGGGAGGGAAAACATCCTGTAAAGCCAGAAGGATGGGAGCTGGGATACCCACAGCCGCACCAGGCTGCACACCTAGGCAGATATAAATGGGATCAGAGGTTCCTAAAATATCCCTGTGGTGGTGGTGGTGGGGACATGGGGGTGCCCAGACTTTCCCTCACCGATGCCAGGGTCCTGACACATAGCTAGGAGTGAAAACAAGCAGCTGAGCACCTACCCCACCCTATTTCCTCCCCAGGCTATGGGTGTCTGGAACACCTATGTCCTCTGATAGGTGGAAACAGGGGGGTGGTAGCATTGAGCAGGCTCAACAGTAACCCTGGTAACGAAGGCGGGGTTGAGGTTACACCTACTCCCAACCTTGGAGAGGAAGGTGGTGAGAAGGGACACCTACCCTGGGGCCCCATTTGGCTCCCTTCCAAGGTTCAACTCCAGGCCTGCCCTTTATCCAGCCTAGACCTCTCCTCGTGGAGACTGAGGGGGAGCACAGTCAGAGCTCTTGGAGGCTCCCTAGCTCAGCTCCAAACCTCAGAGGGAATCCCGAGGCCCAGAATGGGGAGGAGGGCACTGCCCAGTTCCCAAAGCTCTTACAGCAAAGCCTTTCGGAACCAGAGTTTCAGGGTATGAATCATCCTGACACAACCTTGGTGCCCAGTCCCCACTTTCCAGCTATAGGAACTGAGGCTAGAACCAGGAGTGAAGTGGCAGATCATGGCTGCATTCCAGGCATGTTTGCCCAAGGACAAAAAGCTGGACTTTCAGCCTGCAGGGTCAAATTTCAAGGAGTCTGAGGCCTGCCCTGCCCTGCCCAGCCTGGCAAGGCCTGGGCAACAGAGGCCAGAAACCAAACCGGATTTGCCTTTAACCCCCTCCGGCCAGAGTCTTTACTGTCCAAATTGATGGGATCCTGTTGTCTTCTCTACATACATGAATAACGGCTGGTTCTCCAAAGCCAAAGGGAGCCCGAGACACAGCCCACACTGGAGTCAGAGTGTTTCCTTACCCCAGACCAATTTCTCCAAATTCATCTACACTCCATGTCTCCACTTCCTCACCTTTGACTCACTCTTACCCACTCTAATGTGGCTCCCAGGTCTCCGGTGACATCCTATGCTAAATCTGGGAGACGCTCGATACAATATCGTCCTTGGCCTCTCTATCTCACTCTCCTTGTTTTCTCCCTTGCTCTTTCTCCATCTGCTTCCTGGTGGCCATTTCTCCGCTTATTCCTTATAAGCTGGGCTTCTTGGAGTTCGCTCTCCCTGAGTGCTCTCACCCACTGAGTGGCTTCCATGACCACCTACAGGCACATGACTTTCACATATCATGTCCAGTTCCCACCTGAGCTGTAACTCTGAGCTGCCTATGGCATACCCCCAGGTTGCTCATGCCACAAACAGGGGCATCATCTCCAAGACCTCTGTCTCCCTTGCCTCCTCTTGCATCCCTCAGCCACCATCTGAGGCTTTCTCCTTTGTCTACTTTGTACATTTCTCCCCATCTCCACCACCATCTCCAGGGTTTATGCCTCATTGCTCAGCTTCCTCAAACATGCCCCACATAATCTGTTCCTGGTTTTCTGAGCAATGTCTGATACTACTGCCTCTGGGCCTTTCTGCATGCTTTACAGTTCCCTCACACGGGGCAAATCCCCGGCCTCAGCTACTTCCTCCAGGAAGTCTTTTCTGACCCGGTGGACTTCATCCCCCTCCTATGGTCTCCCTTAGCCCCTGTGTTAAAGCCAGAAATACTACGCTGTAACTGTCTGCCTATCTGGCCTGCTGGAGCTGAGGTCCTCCAGGGCAGAGAAAGAGCTTGCTCACCTGTTACCCAGCATTCAGCACTGAATCTGAGGCTATAAACGTGTGTTTAATGAATAGGGCTGCTTGAGGCAGACCTTCTGCTGTGAGGGTCTGGGTCTTGTCTTCTTTCAGCTCCCCATCATACAGAGGCCACCAAATTTCCTCCCATGGGAGGTGACTTAGGGCAAACCCCTTCCCCCCTCTGGATTTCAATGCTATGAAAAGGGGAGAATTGTTCCCATTAACCTGCCCTGCCCTGAGTCTGGACTAAAGCTTCCTGGAAGGGAGGAGATCCCCAAGTTTCTCTACTCCAACTCATGTGTCATCCAGGCTGCGGAGTGAACTCAGCATTTGGGGAGACCTCTGCATCATAAGGGGACACTGGCAGGAGACTCTGGGCACAGTGGCTCCAATTCCCCAGCTTGAGCTCTGCTCAGGTTGTGACCCACTCCTGTAGGGAGCCCCAAAGAGCTCACAACACCCATACTTACAAAGATGAGAAAATTGAATAAGATCATCATGGTCTTAATGAAGCTGTAGCACTGCATGGTGGCTCCTGGGAGGCAGACATGTATGAGTTAGAACCTCCCCCTGCAACCCCCAGGCTGGCCCTGGCCCTGACATTGAACCCTGACAAATCAGACTCCAGACTCCAGAACCCATATGTTACCAAGCTTCCCCTGCATCTGGACTCTGACACCTCAGGACTTTTCCCAATTCCCACCCTGACACTCCTACCTCTCTGTACTGCCCAGACCCTCAACCAGCACCTGACACCCAGATCCTAACACTCCAGGTCATCCCCCGGCACCCAAGCCCAATGTCCACACTGTAGGTCACTCCATGCCCTTCCCTGGCACCTATATATCCGTGACCCCTCCCCAAACCAAGAGTAGACTCCTCCAGGGCCCTCCCCAGGGTCCTTCCAGCTCCCCGAACCTGCTTTCAGATTGAATTCCCTTCATAAGACAATCTCTACTCTATGCCATCACCCACCTGTTCAGGACTCTTGGTAGTGACTTCTGAAAGAAGGATCTGCTGAGGCTCCAGCGGGGACAGATAGCTCCAGGGAACTGCCACTGAGTGGGCAGACAGGCAGCTGGCTCTCACACAACACTGCTCACCTGCAGGCGGGGCAGGTGTTTTAAAGGCTTCCTCTGCCCGCCTGCCTGCCTGCTCCACCCCAGCTCTTAGGCCTTCTCTTGCCCCTGCTGCCCCCTGCTGCCTGGAGATCCGTCCCCACAGCCACAAGAGCAGTGGGACTCCACCTGCCAATACCAAGCACGGGCAATACCCCGCCTGATCTGAGAAGGGAGAGAAATCTGGGGATGGGCAGGGCCCCAGAACTTCTGAGTGCCACCCCCCACCACAGTGCACATATGTTTCTTACCCTGTATCTACAGATACATTCATACACACCCTACATGCTGTGCTCACAGGCATACACATCTACCCAAGTTGCCATCTATATATTCACACACAAACAAAAACACCTACTGATGCTCACGAGTACACACACACACACACACACACACACACACACACACGCACTCACACGCACGCACTTTCAAGGCAGTGACCAAGGTTTGGCAGCTTCTGCTCCCTCCTTTGAATAATAAAAAGCTCCTAGTCCTTTTCCTTTCACAAAAAGATCAAATTCCCCATCTCCCTTCATCTCTCCTCCTCACTCTTCTCCCTCTCCACCCTTTTCCCCCCAAACTTCCCTTTTTTCCTTCTTCCCTTAGCACTCTGTGTACACCCCTTCCCTTTCTGCCAGCAGGTGGCACCATGGTCTCAAGAAAGCATTGCTGCCCAGCTTTAAGGCCCTGCAATGCCCACCATCGAGGCTGCCATCCCACTTCCTATTCCAACATTCCTGATGGAGGTGCTGGGGCAGTCCTGGCTTTTGAGTCACTCAGACCAGGTGCTCAAATCCTGGTTCTGTTGCTTATTAGCTGTGTGACCCTAGGGGGCATTTCTCAGACTTGGTTTTAATGTCTAGTCGGTATAACAGAATTGTTATCGGGCTTTAAGAAGAGATTTTCTCCCCAATCTGGGACATAAGCAACCTTAGTGTAAAAAGGTCCGAGTGGGAGCCAAAACCGGTTTGGCTCAGTGGATAGAGCGTCGGCCTGCGGACTGAAAGGTCCCAGGTTCAATTCCGGTCGAGGGCATATAGCTGGGTTGCGGGCACATCCCCAGTGGGAGATGTGCAGGAGGCTGCTGATCGATGTTTCTCTCTCATCGATGTTTCTAACTCTCTATCTCTCTCCCTTCCTCTCTGTAAAAAATCAATAAAATATATTAAAAAAAAGAAAAAAAAAAAAAGGTCCGAGTGGGGAAAGTCCCAGCCAGAGGGGGTATGGCATGGACAAAGTGGATTTTAAATTTTGTTTTGTTTTTGTAATGGGAGGAGGCAGCTGAAGAGACAAGAGAGGGGAAACTGACAACACAATATTTTTACGGATCATGTTTTAAATGCAATACATATATAGTAAATCATTTTTCCTTCACAACAATCCTATGAGATAGATTCTCTTATCTTCTTTTTATTTTTAATCCTCACCTGAGGATATTTTTCCACTGATTTCCAGAGAAAGTGGAAGGGAGGGGGAGAGACAGAAACATCACTGTGCGAGAGACACATTGAGCCTAGAGGTACATGGCCTTGACCTGAATCAAATCGGGACCCTTCAGTCTGAGGTCCGACACTCTATCCACTGAGCAAAACCAGCCAGGGCTCTTATCTCCGTTTAAATATGGGGGAACAGAGGCACAGAAAGGTTAAGTTCTTGCCGTGATCACACAGCTTATAAGTGGCTGAGCCAGTATTCAGCCCAGTCAGTCTGGTGCCAGAGTCTACGTCTTACCCCCCATCAAACAGACTGTCTACATTGATGGAATCTTGAAAAAGGCAGGACGGACTGGCTTCCAGAAAGAGCAGGGAAAGAGGCCTTGGTCTAGGACTTGAGTAAGAAGATGGCCAAGGGCAGGTGGGTTTACAGGTATAGTGGCTAGAAGTGGATGGGGGCTGGGTTGGTTTCTAAGACTGAGGATGGCAAGAATGGAAGCTGGAAGGGCAGGAGGTGTAGGGACTTTGAGTGTGGTGTGGAGGGCCTCTCAGTCTCCTAGCTGTCTCCTGAGGGAAAAGAGACAAGGTGGAGGCGGGGAAGTGGGGAAGGGGGCCTGTTCAGGTGGAATACGAGGGAAAGGAAGAGAGGGCTAAGATTTAGAGGGAAAGGAGCAAGCCCAAAGTTCCACAAGAACTCAGTACAAGGCCTAGCAGAGCCATTGATGTTTCTGTCTCCTACAAGAAAGGAGATAAACCCAGGGCTGGAACCTCTTACATCCCCTGGTGATCTAGCCATTTCTCTCCCTGCACTGATTGTCCACATGGCTTTCTCTTTTGTCTCGGGAAGAACTGGAACCAGGTCACATTAATCTATGTCCCCAGTGTCCTGCACATATGAATTTGTTAGTGAACATTTCCTGAATGACTGAATGAATGAGTGCAGAATAGCAAGAGTTAAATGTCGGGGCTTTGGACCTTGGCCATGATGGATCTGAATCCCTGCCTGACCCTGATTGTGTGACATCACCTGAACCTCAATTTCCTTATACGACCAATCTTCATCATTCACAGATTACATGTTGTGAATTACCTACTCATTAAAATTTATTTGTAACCCCAAACCAATATGCATGGTACTTTTGAGGTTATTCATGGACATGTGTACAGCTGCAAAAAATTTGAGTTGCCCAACTTGCATGTTCTCAGCTGAGGTTGAACAGGAGAACAACCTGCCTTCTCATTTCAGCTATTATAATGTAATATAATGTGGTCTTTTTAGTGTCATGTTTTTTGCATTTGGGGGCTTTTTGTTGGTGATTTTGCTGTTTAAATGGCCCTAATGTCATGCTGAAGTGCTATCTAATATTGCTAAGCACAAGAAGGTTGTGATGTGCCTTCCAAAGGACACATGTGTGTTATATGAACTTCATTCAGGTATAAGTTATAGTGCTATTGGCTGTGAGTTCAATGTTAACGAGTCAACATTAATTTTTAAATTAGGTGTCTTTAAACAGAGAAACACATAAAACTAGGTGATGTACTGATCAATCACTTGATGAAAATGTTATGACCTGGTAGGAATCTAACCCTGCACTTCTCCTAGGAGCATTGGTTCAATATTTGCTAATCCACTGTTCATAGTGGTAGCTTTATTAGAACATAACTACCATCAATAACAAGAGTCGAGTGTATATGAAATGGGAATAATTATAGAATTTCCTTGTAGGGTTGTTGTTTGTAAGGTACTTGGTATCAAATTTGGCACATAGTAAGTTCTCAATAAAATTGTTAATAGTGTTAATGTGGATGAGTGAGAAAACAAAGAAGTGATTTTCCCCTACTCGGAGTTCCTTTTTCCCAAGAGGCCGAGCTGAAGTTTTCTGGCTGGGCTGACCCACAGAGAGAACCTGACCTATGGGGAGGGGCCGGGGACCAGGACCTGTAATAAAGAGCCCCACCCATATACACTCTGTATGTCATAAAGACCTCAGCTGCCCTGGCCAGCAGCACCCTTGGGCACACTCACAGAAGCTTTCTGTGCCCATGGGGCCTTCTCAGCTTGTCCGTGCCCCTCGGCCCCAGGGCTTACGTCCCCCTTACCGCAGGCCAGGTATGGGCTGGCCTCGGCCTAGGTTTCCCAAGATGTTCAAGTGTAGCCGCAGAAGGTACCGGCAGAAACCCCAAAGCCCAACTGCCACCACTGCAGCCACCAATCTTGCCACCATGGCCAGAGATATCAACAACACCCGCAATGTCACCACCAGTGTGTGGATCCTTCCACTGCAAGGTTAGCCAAGGGCCCCGAGCCAGGATTTGGGGTTGGAAAAACAGGGTCACTGAAGTTTCCCCCACCTTAGCCCTGCATAGGCACTCAAGGGGACACACGCTCTGTGAAATATTACCCCAAGGGTCTTGATGGCGGTCTTCCGAAAAGGCGGAGAGCCTTAATGGAAGACATATTGGCTGGAAGTGGAGGGCTTGGGGAAGTGAATGAATCTAAGAGCAGTGGAGCTTCCAGGACTGCTTGCTGCCTTCCTCACACTCTTCCCTCTCCTTCCTCTCCTCAGTTCTCAGACGCCTCTGTCAACCTGGCAGCTTTCTGATCCTCTAGAAATGCCCAGAAACTAGTCCAGAAGCTTGGCTGGCTCCGGACCTGTATCTTCTGGGGGCCATGGGTGGTGAATAGCAGCCTAATACAATCATTTCTGCCCACTCCACTCTGAGGTATTTGCAGCTGACTGCAGGGTATGAGGGCTGGGACAGGCTTCAGTGACAGCAGCCGGGATCACAGTTAGACAGTGGAAGGACAGGACAAGGTCAGCAACACGCACCAACTCCCCACCTTTGGCTTCAGCTTTTGATATACCCTATGAGGTCAGGGCCTTCCTGCCTTGCACTCCCATCTGCACAGGGAAGGAAGATAGAGGAACAGCTCAGGAAAGGATAGGAGGGAAGAGATTTCACTGCTTGCCTGTAACCCTGTGAATGATTCAGTGCGGTGTATGTGGCTCTGTGTGCCTGGGATGGTCAGTGTGTAGGTGTAGCTGCTGGTGTGTGTGTGTCTGAGAGCATGTGGGAGACCAGAACAATGGCAGTGTAAGTGGCCATGTGACCGAGTAAGCCTTTGCAATCGAATGTGCCTCTGTGGCCAGCTGTGAGTGTTAAGGTGTGTTTGTGAGGGTATGGGTGTATCAGAGAGAGGCATCAGCTCTGCTAAGAGGAATGAAGGTCAAGAGGGGGAGGGGGCAGCCTGAACAAGGAAATGGTTGCTTCTGAGAGGGTGTACCACCTTCAGCCCCCAGTCACTCTCTGAGGTCAGTATTTTCCAGGACAGGAAAACAGCTGAGCCAGGCCTCTGGGGGTGGGGCAAGACAGCTTGAGTCCAGAAGAGGGAGGGTGCTAAGCATTCTGGCCTGGGGATTTTCCATTTGAATTTCTGAGTGTGCGCCCATGTGCCACTGGGTGTAACTGGGTTTCTGTGGGATGTGTCTCCATGGCATTGTGTCTCAATGACAGGAAACATTGTGAGGGGCCCTGTCTCTAACGTGTCACTTTATGAATGGGTT